GGCCAGCGAATGACTTCTCTCTGTAGCCTTTAGTGCCTCTTAATGTCCAGCAAGACTAAACAGAGAGGGTGCCTGGCAAGGATGGCAGTCCAGCAGGGTAGTCCAAGCCCACAAGGCAGCAGCCTCTCTGAATCTAAGCTATACAAGGGGACACTGCATCACAGAATCACCGGGGTGTACACCGCCCTCCTCAGGCTCCAGAATGGGAAAAGGCTTCAAAGGTTATATCCTTCCCACTGCCCAACCCTTGGAGGCTTCCGTCACTGGGCCTGACTGGTGAGAGATGCCAGGCTGGCGTGGTCCCCAGAGCTGCACTGACAGAGGACAGAGGGAGGACAGGGTGCTTCTATTCTACTGGTGTCCCCACTGCCGTTACTGAGCCATGAGGACTCAGGCTGCCTGACGGGAGTGCAGAGCAGGTCCGTAGCTCCTCAGTAGGCCACTTGACCACGAGGCCTGCTCCCAGCTCCCACTCACTCACTGACAACTGTCAACACCTCTGACTCAGAAGACCTCCAGGAGTCAAAGAAGAAGGGTAGGAATGTTCCAAAGAAATGCATCTCTCATTTTTATCCTTTTTGTTGGCATGCAAACAAAGGTAATAAAACGTGGTGAACATGGTCTGGGAGTCAGACAGACAAGCATCCAAACAGTGGCTGCGAAGCTTGTAGCAAGCTGTGTTGGCTTTGGGGTCTCAGCTTATTCATCTGTAGAATGAACATAATATCAGACACTAGCTGCGGGGCGCTGAGGATCAGACTGCATACGGTGCTCAGCAGGGAGCATGGTGCAGAGTTGGGGCATGTGACCTGTGATACGCTGTTATTACTTTTTATGCCAACAGCTTTCTCATTGGGTGTTTCATGAGCATATTAGTATGATGTGAGATCAGCACACCTGTCCTGTGGCCCAAGAAGTGCCAGAAAAGTCTTCCCTAGCAGCACGATGTGCAGGAGCTCTGTGTTAAGCAGTATTTCCTCAGGCATCACGAGAAGGCAAACTTTAACCTTTTCCTGTAAATATTATGAACAACGTCTGACCAGTGGCTATGAAAGAGCCTGGGCACTTTCCATTTATCAGCCTCTCTGAAAATAAAGGGCATGATGTCTTATGAAGTGATTCTTCATCTGGCATTTCTCTTTAAAAACAATGTTTTTATTGATTTCAGAAAGAGATAGAAACATCAATGATGAAAGTGAATTACTGATAGGTTGCCTCCTGCACACCCACTACCGGGGGATCAAGCCTGCAACCAAGGCATGTGTCCTGACCATGAATCAAACCGTGACCTCTGGTTCTGGGTCAATGAACAAGCACTGAGCCACACCAGCAGGGCCATCTGGCATTTCTTGAGTCTCCATCTCTACCTGACTCCAATTGAATTTACATATTGGTAGGCCCAGGGTCCCAACCTCATATCATTTGGGAGAGCAACACCTCTTACAGTCTCCATCTATGGGGTTCTGCAAACGCCATGTCCTGATTTTCACGGGAGCATCTGATGCCAGGTTGGCCAGAATGACATTCAAGACTCAGCTGAAATAATCAGAGAAAGATATAAGCCTGGACTGCTGAAGCTCCTTGACTTGCCACAGAAGGATTCCACCTGAGAACAAAGCCAACAAACACATAGGAATGTGGAGGCAAGAGACAGCAAGGATCTTCATGACCTGATGGGAGCACCTGGATCCAGCCATGCCTGAAGCCTTACCATTCTGTGAGCTAATAACATCCCATTTCTGTTTAATCAAATCTGACTTGAATTTTCTGTCACTTGTAACTAAGAGGATCCTGACATATACAGTGACATAAGAATCCCTTTGTACGAAATAAACTAGGAGACTGCTGTCTGTGATAAGCAAAGCAAATACTGCCTTCTTTTAAACTAGAGAAACAAACTCAGGGGGACAGGCAAGTAGATGTGTGTCCCAAGCCAGGGGCAGGACAAAAGGCCTAAAAAGTTCTGTAAACTCTAACCGGTTTGGCTCAGGGGATAGAGCATCGGCCTGCGGACTGAAAGGCCCCAGGTTCAATTCCGGTCAAGGGCATGTGCCTTGGTTGCAGACACATCCCCAATAGGAGGTGTGCAGGAGGCAGTTGATGGATGTTCTCTCTCATCGATGTTTCTAACTCTCTATCCCTCTCTCTCCCTCTCTGTAAAAAATCAATTATATATATATATATATATATATATATATATACATATTAATTTCTGTGGCTCCTTTGAGTATCTAAACTTAAACTGTGAGACCACAGCTGCTTGCTGAGCCTTGCTCCATGGTTTTCCCATGTCTTCTAGGAAAGCTAGTTCCACACGTTCTGCAGAGCAGGGTTCCCTAGTCCCATCTGTGTGAGAAGTGCTGGATTCACAGAGTTCGAAATATTGCTTTATTACAGAAATTCTCCAAGAGCCCCTTGAATCTCCCAGGCTGAACCGAGGCCCAGTATTTCCCATGCTGGCAGTCCACGGAACCCTATTTGCTCAGAGCAACTTAAGGTATAAACCCACAGAGCTCCCTTGCAGAATTAGGGCTGTAGAGCTTTGCTTCTGAAAGTATAGTCTGAGGCCCAGGAGCATCAGCCAGGGAGCTCATGAGAAGCTCAGAACCTGGGAGGTGGGGGGAAAGAGGGAAGGTAGGGAGGGTGCATAGGTGCTGAATCAGAATCTGTATTTTAACAAGAGCCTCGGGGACCTGCACCACATTTGCTTGGGAGTGTTTCACTACCAATGAAGTAAGAGCAAGAGCTGCCAGGAAGGGGCCACATGAAGCATGTTGGTTTAGAGCCAGAGCCGCTGGGAGGATGCTGTGCGCTTGGCTGTGGAAGACCCAATGATGGGCGTACACAGGAAGTACATCTTGGGTCATATATCAGTGCCTTTCACCCACCAGACTTGGGAGCACCATGGAATAAGAGCTGGAGAGTACCAACCAGTCTCCTGCCATCAAGGGCTGAGCCTAACCTGCCAGCAAAGCAGGCATGAAGACCCTTTCCTGCAGGGTCACTGCTGAGGACCAGACGATGATGCATGAAGCCCTTAGCATATGACCCCATAAATGGTGCACAGAGGGACCTCAAAGGTTAGAAAATTAATTGGTATCAAGTCAGAACAGATGCACATAGCAAAGAGAGAAAAAGAAGTCATGATGCTGCCCCACTATCTCTGGACCATTTCACCGACGGCATTCAAGGCCATTCTGGGAGGCGCCAGCCCCTCTTCCGACTCCAGCCTTCTTCTCAGCCCTGGAAGCATGTCCGGGACCTCTGCCTATCCTGATTGGGCCAAGGCACACTGGTACCTCTTCCCTCTGCTGGGACTGCCAACCTGTGCGGCTGCCCACTGATAAAGCATTCAGGTAGCCCCCAGGAGTATGTTTTCAGGCCCCAGCAAGAGTGCTCCTCAGCCTATCAACTGCCCTGAGCGTGTGAGACGCAGAGGGGCACCAGGCCTGCCCTATTTCTGACCAGCGCAGTGAACAAACACACAAGAGGTGCTGGTTGAACAGATGAATCACTGCCCAAAATGAATGAATGATACAACGAAAAAGTGTCTGTAAAGTGTGTTCCATTGGGAATTAACCAGTACACAGAAGTTGGTCCACCAACAAATGTATCCCTGTCACCTCTTCCTAACCCACCCACCCCGTCCTGAAGTCCCCAGGACCTATTTCCTCTAATTAAGGCGATTCACCTCCAGAATAAAATGAGGTACGCCAGTGAGCACCCAGACACCCTCAGAGACAACTGGGCATAGAGGGCCACACCATGTTAGCCCAACTCCTCCAAGGGCACGGACAGTTGTCTGCAATACGCCCAGCTTCTAACCAAAGGCAGTGATTTTCTGAAGCAACAAGTGACTTTTCCTGTGTCTCCATAAAAAGAATAGCAGCGGTTGTGGGGCTCTGGGGTAATTGCTGGCTCTGTAGCTCACAGGGTGAGCCTGAGGACAGGGCTGCAGGGCTGGGAGAGCGGCCACACCCTCGGAGCAGGAGTCTTCGGAGCTGCAATTAGAACGGAACCCTTGGTGGGCGGTCTAGATGACTTGCTCGCACAGCCCGCCTGACCACCACACATCCTCTCCAAAATAGAAAGCTGCAGTGGCTTCTGCTGTGTGCCAGGGCCCTGGGCGGCGGGACAGAACACCGCCAATGTCAGCCTCCTCCTCGAGCATTGATCCAGGCTTCCTCCCGGCTCTTATGTCAAGCCACGGTCCCTCTGGGCCCCCGGAATAGGAGAACTTCCCAGGCTCCAGGAACCCCCAGGCAGCCCAGGAGGGGGCCTCCCTCAGCCTCTCTCCTGTCCTCCAGGGGCTGCCCATGGGCCCCAGAGCCTGCATTTCCCAACTTCCCCCTGGGTTCAAAACAGAGAGAAATCGACTTTTCAAATAGCCATCTGAACTTCACAGGAACCCACAGTCAAAATCAGTGGATCCCAGTCAGCCAGCGGACAGATAACTGGGCATTTCAGCATCACTGCTGCCCCTGGGACTGGGACCACCCGCACACACAGAGACAAGGAGACTGACTGTCAGTACATGTGCTGTCCACACATATGACACATACTCTAATGCACAAGGTACACACTCAACTGGCACACAAATGAGCAGAAACCTACAGATACACATGTGCACAAGATACATAAGGGCACATTCATGTGTTCACGCAGGTGCCCAGACACGTGTACACATTAACATTCCAAACACATGTGCACATACTCACAGACATATACACACACCTTGATGCCAAGCCAAGACCTGTGCCTGCAGGCCTAACAGAGACACAAACGTAGCTACTTGCCCAGCCCTTTGGAGACCCCGGACCCCTCTCCTGTCAATCACAATACCTTGCCTTCCAGCCACCCCCTCAGTGTATGCCCTGTGGTCCCTCAACAGAGAAGGTCCTCAGTGCCGGCCTGGCCCTCCCAGGGGACACCCAGGTACCAGGCTCCAGAAGCTCAGGCAAGAGCCATGGACAGAAAGGGGTGGCGAAGCGCCTGCTCACCAGCCCATCGCAGGTGCTGAGCGCCACGGAGGAGGCCTCACTCACGCCGGCCACGTCTCCAGTGTAGAGGCAGGTCCCGAGCAGGGGCTCCACGCGGGTGGTGCCCGCCTCGCCCTGCCACTCCATCGTGGCCCCGGGCGCCACGAGGCGGGCGTTGGGCCGCAGCCGCAGGTGCAGGTCTCGGCTGAAGACGGTGATGTTGTAGAACAGGCGGCGGTCCAGGTCCTCGCCACCTCCAGAGGAACCCGGGGTCCTGGCGGGGGCAGCCCTGCGGGCCCGAACCCCGGCCTGAGCCGTCGTCACCGACACCACGTGGGACACCAGGCGGCCCTGGGCGTCAGTGCGCACAGGCACCGCCAGGATGCGCTGGGCTCCGCGCCCCGGGGGTCCGCCTGCAAAGGGAAGGAACGTGGAGCCGCCGGCCTGAGCTCCCCAGCCCGGCTGAGCCCGCAGCACCCCAGTCCCGCCCCCAAGCTCCCAAAGCGAAGGGAAGGACACTCCTCCGGGCACCTCCCTGGATCTGCCAGCGGGAAGAGCAGTTACACCGCCGCTCGGGGTCCCGCTCTGGGACCTCCTGCCCCATCGGGGTTGGGGCTCCGCGGGCTCCTCACAGGTCCCCAGGGGAGCTGCCCCGCCACCGGGGACCTACCGTCCTTTGCAGGACGTGGACCCTTCCGAAGCCAGTCTCGGTGCCCCTCTCACCCTCCGGGAGCCTCCACACTCCAGTGGCCCCGGGGCGGTGAGGGCTCGGCTCCCCCCAGCACAGGCGGCCTCTGACCACAGCATCCCGTCCCCGGAGGGGTGGAGCAGGGTCCCTCGGATCTTCGGGGATCCCCTCTGAGGCTCCCAAACCGATCCCCAGGGCCCCAGGCGAGGCATCCTGCTCCTGGGGAGCATCCCCGGACGCCCGCCCAGGAGCAACCCGGCCCTGGCTCCCCGGGACCCACTGGGGCAGGCGCCGGGAGCTCCGCCGCGGGGCATCCCCGGCCCTCAGCCGCCGCGCTCCGCTCCGCGCCCCGAGAGCCGCGGGGCTCCAGGCTCCCCGCGGCCCGAGGAGTCCGGGTGCGCCGCGAGGGGCGCCCCCTGCGCCATCGATCTGGCCTGAAGTTGGCCAACTTGGCCCCTGACGGGGCGCTCGGAGTTTGCCCAAGTCCGGCAGGACGCTCCGGGTGCACGGGGAGGGGGAGGGGGAGGGGGATGCGCGCGGGGCGGGGCGGGCCAATGGGGGTCGCGGGGTTGGGGCGGGCTGCACCCACCTGGGGGGTCGGCGGCCGCGGCGAGCCTGGCGGCGGCGGGCGGCGGCGGCGGCAGTAGCAGCAGCAGCAGCGGGAGCGGAGAGAGGCAGAGCAGGCGGCGCACGGCGCCAGCTGACGGATCCATGGCAGCCGGACCGCAGCCGGGCCCCGCACTCGCAGCCGGCGCGAAAGTTCCCCGCGCGCCGCCCAGTCCACATCTGGGGCCGCTGGAGCCGCCGCAGCTGCAGCACCGCAGGGAGCGGGGCGGAGGAGCGAGGCGCGCCGGGGAGGGAGGGCGGGGAGCTCCGAGGAGAGGCGGGGAGAGGGAAGGAGCGTGGAGGGAGGCGGGCGGGCGGGAGAAGGAGGGCGCAGGGAGGGCGGGGACGGCGGGCGCTCAGCCTGCGGTGACCCGGCGCTTCTCGGCGGGGCCGCCGCCGCCCGCTCACAGCGAAGCAGAGACACCCTGAGGCGGCGGCGGAGTAACGCGTGGGATCCCCGCTGCTGGCCACCCTGGGCTTGCCCCGCGTCCCCGTGGCACACCGCCTGGAAGGAGACCCGCCCCAGCATCCCCATTCAGAGAATTCTCCTTGGGGCCCACCAGTCAGCCATGAGCTTAAGAGATAGCCTGGCCCTTCGTTTGCGCCCTGGGGCAGGACAGGGCTCGGGAAGAGGGTGGGGAAGGTGGAGAAGGCCTGAGATGGAGACCTCAGGCCAGAAGATGCTTTTACAGAAGGGAGCACTCACTGCACAAGGGGGTATCCTAAGATCAACTCTTACCCTTCCAGAGAGAGGCAAGATACCCGTCTTCCCCACCTTCTTTCTGCCTGAAGTCCCTGTCCCCCTCCATCTGTCTCCCAACCTTCCTTTGCGAGCTGGGAACACAGCCTCCTCTAGCCAGATCTGGACTCCTTCCTAGAGCACTGGCAGCGGATCAGCCCTCACCTGTCTGGAACCCCACGTGGGCATCTAGCCTCCTGGACTCTCCTCTTCTCCAGTTACCCCCTCCCCCGCTTAATATAATAGCCTTTCTACTCTACTCACCTTTTCCAATTCAGAATACCAGGCATACCTCTCCATCCTGGATCAGGTTTGCCGTCAGAGCCCTTTGCCAGTTGGAATCTCTTCTCCAGGAAGATTTGGAGCCTGGAGTCACCCTCCTACCAGGCCTGCTGCCCACAACACAGGGACCTTTCTTCCCCAGTCCTCTCAGCCTGTGCCTATTGGAACATCTCTGCTATGTGATCCCATATTTTTGCCCCATTCCTGTCTCTCTGGATCTTCCCTTTCACAGTGCTCCAGGCCCGTGTACCCAGGACTCTGGGGTTGGCTCTGGTCTGGCAGGGCCCCCTTGCCAGCCAGGAGGGCCGGGTCTTATAGGAAAACACGTGACTTTTACAACCTACTTTGGCTGTGATTTCGTCTCCTCAGTTCCATCATTTTTAGGACCTGCACTTGAGGGCACTGTACCTTGATGGCCATCTTCACCTGCAAGCTTCCCTCTGTGTCGCCTGTGGGTGCTGAGGCAGGCACGGTGAGCATTTATGGTGAACATTAACAATGGTGAAATTTCACATAAGAACTGAGATAGCTGACTTTTCTTGAGAAATTGGAACATTGGGTCACACTGGGCCCACATTTCTGCTATTAACCCTTCAATGGGACACATGCCCTGCAGCTTGTGTGGGTCCCTTCCCTTATCCCCAGGAAGCATTTACTATTGATACCTCTGCAAACACAGTTGGTTTCAGAGAAAGGTGGTTGGTGATCAGTGCATGGAAAAAGAGATCACTCCAGAGCCAGCCATCCTGGAAGACTTCCTGTAAGAAGCAGCATGGGTTTGAATCCTGAAGGCTGAGGGAGTTGGGCAGCCCAGCGTTGAGTCCCGTGATGTTTTAGAACCTATGGCATTCTTCCACTCATCCCTGTTGTGGTGGTTGTGCTTTCGTGCTCCTCAAAGAATGAATGACACCCAATAGCAGCCTCACCGTCTTCAAGGGTCATGTTCTATAACCTCACACACTTCCTAGCCAGGCTGATGGCACTTCCTCATCTTCTTCCCACTGCCATCATTATTTCTTTATTCAGTACTTCATCCTGAACGTAAATGTTTAAAGGATACTTTAAATCACTGAATGAAAAGCCAACACTTCTTCATAAATCAAAAATACTTGTCAAAAATAAATAAAATGGGGGAAAAATTTATGTCAAATTCTAGATACTATTCGCTGCAAAAGGCACTGATGCTGAAACTGATTAGCAAGCGTTTGGAAAGTAATGAGACAGATGAGCAAGAGCAGGGACCTTCCCTTTGGTGCGATGAGAGGGGCAAAAGGAAAGGTGAGGAGTGACACTCACTTGGTGATACATGAGTTGTTCAATAGGTCCATGTATGTTATTATCTACATACTTGGGAATGCCTGTCCTAAGACATTTTTTGTAAAGAGTGTGATCTTTGTCTCCCTAACACCCCTGCCTCACCTGGCACCTGGTCCTGCCCACATCACCCCCAGGTTCTGGGACTCCACCCAGATAGAGATTCCCCAAGAGTGGGAAGCAAACCACTGCTCTTGACCAACCTATCTTTTAGCCCCAAAATGACACTCTGTGTGGAAGAGTGGATGAATTGGGCAAATATCCATCAAAATCTATGGCTGAATCCTCCATGCAGGGGGTCCTTACGGGCTTATCCTCAACTACAAAAACAAAAAACAAAAAACCCACAAAAAACCCCACAAACAAAAAAAAAAACCAGATACCTACTTCTTCACACCTCCATGGCTCATATCTCTCCTCTTCCTTTTCTAGAAAATGCTGCTCCAGCCTCTGGTATTTGCATCTCCCTCAGGTCACCCTCCTCCTCCTCCAGTTGAAACAGGGCACAGAAATCCCACATTTCTTGCTCATCTGTTTATTCATTCTAGACCCCAAAGACATAGACCAAAGACTACAGGCCAACTCAGCTCCAACACTTGCTTAGGGTGTGTTACGTGTGTCTGCTTTGAGTTGAACTTGAATATCTTTAGGGCTGGCTTCTACTCTCTTGCTTGATAGAGTCCCCACCACTCCTATTGTCCTCCATCTGCCTATTGCTCAAGTTTGTTACCAGCATGGTCCCTGAAGGCCTGGAGTTACGAATTTGAACCTAGAACAGCGGCATGTTGAGGGGGAGGGATGAGGACAATTCAGGATGAGCTTGAGCCCTCTTCCTCCTAGGGTTAGGGTTAGGGTTGGGGTTCCCAAGGATGTGAGGTACAGAAAGAGATGGGGATCTACCATGGTCATCTTGGGTGTCAAAAATCACCATGCGTGCCCAAGAGCAGGGACATTAAGAAAAAACAATGTCTTCCTCTGTGCCCTCCCCAGCTCTCACTGGGAACGGTGCTCTGCCGCATTCTGAGGGAGGGGAAGGGCTCTCTGCTCCACCTCTGGCTTCCAGGCCACATGTGCCTCCACAGACTTCACCAGAGCCATCCCTGCCCCTGGTGGCCACAAAGAAACCAGAGCTCCTTCTGCCCTTTGACGAGGTCACACTCTTTGGCAGTCCTCGCCTCCCTGCATGCTAGAAGCAGACCAGATGGAGGCGGTGAGGTTTCACTGTCCTCCCTCTAGACAAGCAAGCTGGGAGCAGTTGGGGGATGGACCTAGACTCTTCCAGCCCCACTGGGGACCTGGATTCAGAGCGTAAGAAGCTGTAAGGTCTTAGTGACCTTGCCAAGGGACCTATAAAGACAGCAGCTCTGTCCTCCTCCACTGTTGGCAAACAGCTGTCACAGTGGCCTCCTCAGATGCACTGACAGAATCCTGGCCAGGAGTGGCCTTGGTAAGCAATATACCAGGGGAATGCTGATTGAACAGAACATGGCAGCCAGATGGTCTTCGGGGGGTTCTTGCTGTTTTTTGAGCATCCCTCCACGCACACACACACCCTGACAAGGAGCTGTGTCAGGCAAAACAGGAAAAAAGTAGGTGTTTCTAGGTGGCCTTTTTTTTTTTTTTTTTTTTTTTTTTTTCATTGCTACGTTTCACACAGAGTTGTCCTACCTCCATTGGAATCAGTTCTGCCTGGAAGTGGAAGACAAAGTACTTGCAGTGTGGAGGCTAAGGGATCCAGGATCATTCAACACAAGCTATAGGTCCCATTAAATATACCCTTAATGACTGGGGGAGGCTAAAATCTCAGTGCCCGTTTGTAAGTACCTGTCCATTTGCACCTAAGCTAAGCTTAGCAGAGAGGCAGAGGCTCACAGATTTTCAAGGGGTTGTCTGGGTGCAGAGAGTACTGTCCTGGGCCCACTTGTATCTGGACCTAGGCCCTGGGTCCACCTGTGCCTAACCTCTCACAAAAGTCAGGAGGGCCATTTGGTATGCCTCACCCATCTGAGAAAGGCCTGTGGGCCTCTCAAGATAACCTTGGCTGCTAGTAACACAGCCAGCTTAAATGTAAGAAAATGCATGATGTCATGTACCAGGTCTGCAAGTATGACAGCTCCAGAGCTCAATCTGCCACCTAGGTCTGTGACCCTGACTAGACCAGCATGTCAAACTTATGGCCGGTAGGCTGTGTACCTCATTTAAATAAACGAGGCATGAGGCCCACTGACCGAGAGTTTGACATACTTGAGGTAGAAGAATAGCCAGACCACATGCAGGCTTTCTGCTAGAAGAGCTGGCTGGCTCCCTCTGGTCTGTGGGCCAAGGTTGGGTCATTTGACCATTGCTGAACCAGCTACTAACTAGGGGCGGGGCTGTTACCTGGATTAACTCTCTGGGATACAATGCATGTTAGGATTCAGCCCCATGTCCCCAGTCTCCAGCACCTCATTTGCCTCTATTTCCAAATGAGAGTATATCACAGTCCCAGATTACCCCTGCCTGGTCATCACATGATTTTCTGTTTACCTCCCATCCCCAGACAATATCATCCATAGAGCATGGAGAATTGATTTCTTTACATATAAATCCTGCACATAGTTTATGACGGGCACAATCCTATTGCATTGTGGGGTTCTGTGTTCAAATCCTTTGTAAGCCTGACTGGATAGTTCGTCACTTATAATCCGTTGCTGACCCTGGCCTAGGCCTTGCTAGACCTTAGGATCCCTGGCCTCTGAGGCTTTCTTCTTTTTAGATCACCCTCCCTTCCTGTCATGTTCTTGCTGTCAGTCAATGGTTTTCAGCACCAATTCAAGGCCGACAGAAACCCCCAGCTTGGGGGCTGTGCAGTGAAGAAGGAAACTTCATTCAGTGCAAAACATTTCAATTGTCACATAAAAGAGCATAGTTATGAGGCAGTCCT